TCTCTGGTCCCTGGTCTCTGGTCCCTGGTCTCTGGTTCTTGTCTCAGGTCTCAGGTTCTGGTCCCTGGTCCCTGGTCTCTGGTCCCTGGTCCCTGGTCTCTGGTCTCTGGTCTCTGGTTCTAGTCTCAGGTCTCAGGTTCTGGTCCCTGGTCCCTGGTCTCTGGTCCCTGGTCTCTGGTTCTAGTCTCAGGTCTCAGGTTCTGGTCCCTGGTCCCTGGTCTCTGGTCCCTGGTCTCTGGTTCTAGTCTCTGGTCTCAGGTTCTGGTCCCTGGTCCCTGGACTCTGGTCCCTGGTCTCTGGTTCTAGTCTCTGGTCTCTGGTCTCAGGTTCTGGTCCCTGGTCCCTGGTCTCTGGTCTCGTCTCAGGTCACAGGTTCTGGTCCCTGGTCTCTGGTCTCGTCTCAGGTTCTGATCTCTGGTCCCTGGTCTCGTCTCAGGTCTCAGGTTCTGGTCCCTGGTCCCTGGTCCCTGGTCTCTGGTCCCTGGTCTCTGGTCTCTGGTCTCTGGTCTCTGGTCTCTGGTCTCTGGTCCCTGGTCCCTGGTCTCTGGTCTCTGGTCTCTGGTTCTAGTCTCAGGTCTCAGGTTCTGGTCCCTGGTCTCTGGTCTCTGGTTCTAGTCTCAGGTCTCAGGTTCTGGTCCCTGGTCCCTGGACTCTGGTCCCTGGTCTCTGGTTCTAGTCTCAGGTCTCAGGTTCTGGTCTCTGGTCCCTGGTCTCTGGTTCTAGTCTCAGGTCTCAGGTTCTGGTCCCTGGACTCTGGTCCCTGGTCTCTGGTTCTAGTCTCTGGTCTCAGGTTCTGGTCCCTGGTCTCTGGTTCTAGTCTCAGGTCTCAGGTTCTGGTCTCTGGTCTCAGGTTCTGGTCCCTGGTCCCTGGTCCTGGTCTCTGGTCTCTGGTCTCTGGTCTCTGGTCTCTGGTCTCTGGTTCTAGTCTCAGGTCTTAGGTTCTGGTCTCTGGTCTCAGGTTCTGGTCCCTGGTCCCTGGTCTCTGGTTCTAGTCTCAGGTCTCAGGTTCTGGTCCCTGGTCCCTGGACTCTGGTCCCTGGTCTCTGGTTCTAGTCTCTGGTCTCAGGTTCTGGTCCCTGGTCTCTGGTCTCTGGTTCTAGTCTCAGGTCTCAGGTTCTGGTCCCTGGACTCTGGTCCCTGGTCTCTGGTTCTAGTCTCTGGTCTCAGGTTCTGGTCCCTGGTCCCTGGACTCTGGTCTCTGGTTCTAGTCTCTGGTCTCAGGTTCTGGTCCCTGGTCCCTGGTCTCTGGTCTCGTCTCAGGTCTCAGGTTCTGGTCCCTGGTCTCTGGTCTCGTCTCTGGTCTCAGGTTCTGGTCCCTGGTCCCTGGTCTCTGGTCTCTGGTCTCGTCTCAGGTTCTGGTCTCTGGTCTCTGGTCTCTGGTCCCTGGTCTCGTCTCAGGTCTCAGGTTATGGTCCCTGGTCCCTGGTCTCAGGTCTCTGGTCTCTGGTCTCTGGTCTCTGGTCTCTGGTCTCTGGTCTCGTCTCAGGTTCTGGTCTCTGGTCCCTGGTCTCGTCTCAGGTCTCAGGCTCTGGTCCCTGGTCCCTGGTCCCTGGTCTCTGGTCTCTGGTCTCGTCTCAGGTCTCTGGTCTCTGGTCCCTGGTCTCGTCTCAGGTCTCAGGTTCTGGTCCCTGGTCCCTGGTCTCTGGTCTCTGGTCTCGTCTCAGGTCTCAGGTTCTCTGGTCTCTGGTCTCTGGTTCTGGTCTCTGGTCTCTGGTCTCTGGTCTCTGGTCCCTGGTCCTGGTCTCTGGTCTCTGGTCTCTGGTCTCTGGTCTCTCTGGTCTCTGGTCTCTGGTCTCTGGTCTCTGGTCTCTGGTCCCTGGTCTCGTCTCAGGTCTCAGGTTCTGGTCCCTGGTCCCTGGTCTCAGGTCTCGTCTCAGGTTCTGGTCTCTGGTCTCGTCTCAGGTTCTGGTCCCTGGTCCCTGGTCCCTGGTCTCTGGTCTCTGGTCTCTGGTCTCTGGTCTCTCAGGTTCTGGTCCGGTCCCGGTCTCACCTCTGGTTCTCCGGTGTCGTGGTTGGTCTGGATCAGGATCTTGCCCAGTCTGATGTCTTTGCACACGGCCCTGAGAGACTGTTCCATCGTCTCACCTGCTCTGAGAATCGACACACCTGTGATCTAGAACACACAAATACACAACTGTGACGCACAAACACACACCTGTGACACACAAATACACAACTGTGACGCACAAACACACACCTGTGACACACACACACCTGTGACACACAAACACAACACGTGACACACAACTGTGACACACAAACACACACCTGTGACGCACAAATACACAACTGTGACACACAAACACACACCTGTGACACACAAACACACACCTGTGACGCACAAATACACAACTGTGACGCACAAATACACAACTGTGACGCACAAATACACAACTGTGACGCACAAATACACAACTGTGACGCACAAACACACACCTGTGACGCACAAACACACACCTGTGACACACAAACACACACCTGTGACGCACAAATACACAACTGTGATGCACAAACACACAACTGTGACGCACAAACACACAACTGTGACGCACAAACACACACCTGTGACGCACAAACACACACCTGTGACACACAACACACACACCTGTGATCTGGAACGTGACACAAACACACAACTGTGACACACAAACACACACACCTGTGATCTGGAACGCACAAACACACAACTGTGACACACAAACACACACACCTGTGATCTGGAACGCACAAACACACAACTGTGACGCACACACACACACATCTGAGTTGTGTTGGGGTCAGGACGACCTGAGTTGGAGGACTTGTTGGGACCAGTCAGGTCAATGAACATGAGACAAACTGAACTTTAAACTAAAAACCAGAACATTCCAGAGTGTTTCAGAATCTCAAATCTGTATTATAGAATATATTCTAAATATGTGTGTGTGTGAGTATGTGTGTGTCTGTGTGTGTGTATAGTGTGTGTGTTCATGTGTGTGTGTAGTGTGTGTGTATGTGTGTGTGTGTGTCTGTGTGTGTTCGTGTGTGTAGTGTGTATGTGTGTATATGCGTATGTGTGTATGTGTGTGTGTGTCTGTGTGTATAGTGTGTGTGTGTGTGTAGTGTGTATGTGTGTATATGCGTATGTGTGTGTGTCAGTGTGTGTCTCTGTGTGTCTGTGTGTGTGTGTGTATGCGTGTGTGTGTATGCGTATGTGTGTGTGTGTATAGTGTGTGTGTGTAGTGTGTATGTGTGTATAGTGTGTGTGTGTGTGTCTGTGTGTGTCTCTGTGTGTCTGTGTGTGTGTATGTGTGTGTGTGTGTATGTGTGTGTATGTGTGTATGTGTATGTGTGTGTGTTTGTGTGTATGCGTATGTGTGTGTGTATATGTGTGTGTGTCTGTATGTGTGTGTGTGTGTGTATGTGTATGTGTGTGTGTGTATGTGTGTATGCGTATGTGTGTGTGTATATGTGTGTGTGTCTGTATGTCTGTATGTGTGTGTGTGTGTATGCGTATGTGTGTGTGTATATGTGTGTGTGTGTGTGTGTGTGTCTGTGTGTGTGTGTCCGTGTGTGTGTGTCTGTCTGTCTGTGTGTGTGTGTGTGTGTGTGTCTGTCTGTGTGTGTGTGTGTGTGTGTATAGTGTGTCTGTGTGTGTGTGTGTGACTAACCCTCTTCCCTCCGAGTCTCTTCCCCTCATAGACTCCGCCCTGTGGCGTCTCCACGGAAACAGACTGGAGAAAAATTAAAACAACATTAAAATTTTCAAATTTAAATAAAGTTTTAAAATGAAAATTTTCAAGGCTAAAATCCTATTTAAAAACTCTCCAGGACCAACAGGACCTCAGACTACAGACCATTCACACTATGGACCAGTCACACTACGGACCAGTCACATTACCCACTTCACACAGATTAAAGATTATAGCCTCATTTTCACTTAAGAACAGCCTCAGCCTCTGACGTACAGACGGACCTGTGTGGACCAGGTTCAGTCCTGGTCCAGTCCTGGTCTAGTCCTGGTTTAGTCCTGGTCTAGTCCTGGTCTAGTCCTGGTCTAGTCCTGGTCTAGTCCTGGTTAGTCCTAGTCCTGGTCTAGTCCTGGTCCAGTCCTGGTTCAGTCCTGGTTCAGTCCTGGTCTAGTCCTGGTCTAGTCCTGGTTTAGTCCTGGTTCAGTCCTGGTCTAGTCCTGGTTTAGTCCTGGTTTAGTCCTGGTTCAGTCCTGGTCTAGTCCTGGTTTAGTCCTGGTTCAGTCCTGGTTCAGTCCTGGTCTAGTCCTGGTCCAGTCCTGGCTCAGTCCTGGTTCAGTCCTGGTCTAAGTCCTGGTCTAGTCCTGGTTTAGTCCTGGTTTCTGGTCTGGTCTAGTCCTGGTTCAGTCCTGGTTTCCTGGTCTAGTCCTGGTCTAGTCCTGGTTTAGTCCTGGTTCAGTCCTGGAGTCCTGGTCTAGTCCTGGTTCAGTCCTGGTCTAGTCCTGGTTAGTCCTGGTCTAGTCCTGGTCTCCTGGTTAGTCCTGGTCTAGTCCTGGTCCTGGTTCAGTCCTGGTCTAGTCCTGGTTCCTGGTTTAGTCCTGGTTCTCCTGGTCAGTCCTGGTCTAGTCCTGGTCTAGTCCTGGTCTAGTCCTGGTCCCTGGTCCAGTCCTGGTCTAGTCCTGGTCAGTCCTGGTCTAGTCCTGGTTCAGTCCTGGTCTAGTCCTGGTCTAGTCAGTAGTCCTGGTCCCTGGTCTAGTCCTGGTCCTAGTCCTGGTCCTGGTCAGTCCTGGTTCAGTCCTGGTCTAGTCCTGGTCTAGTCCTGGTCTAGTCCTGGTTCAGTCCTGGTCTAGTCCTGGTCTAGTCCTGGTCAGTCCTGGTCTAGTCCTGGTTCAGTCCTGGTCCCTGGTCCAGTCCTGGTCTCCAGTCCTGGTCTAGTCCTGGTCTAGTCCTGGTCTAGTCCTGGTCCTAGTCCTGGTCTAGTCCTGGTCTAGTCCTGGTCAGTCCTGGTCTAGTCCTGGTTCAGTCCTGGTCCAGTCCTGGTTCAGTCCTGGTCTAGTAGTCCTGGTTCCTAGTCCTGGTCTAGTCCTGGTCCAGTCCTGGTCAGTCCTGGTTCAGTCCTGGTCTAGTCCTGGTCCAGTCCTGGTCAGTCCTGGTTCAGTCCTGGTCTAGTCCTGGTTAGTCTGGAGGAAGGACTGGGCAGTTCGATCAGGAGTCTCATGAGTCGTTTGGAGTAAAAAATAAACTCGTCACGACTCGTTTCTCGATTCCTGAAACAAAAAAATGATTTAGGGTTAGGGTTTAGTCCTGGTCCAGTCCTGGTCCTGGTTTAGTCCTGTCCGGTCCTGGTCCTGGTCCTGGTCCTGGTCCTGACCTGATGATCGTGTGCATTCCCAGGACTTGTGGAGTTCTGTTCAGGACACTGAGAGTCTGAGGCAACGGCTGAGACTGATGAGCAGACGCCAACGCAGATCTGATGGACAGAAGAGGAGAGGATGAGAGAGGAGAGGAGAGAGGGATGAGAGAGGAGAGGAGAGAGAGGAGAGAGGAGAGAGAGGAGGGAGAGAGAGAGGATGAGAGGAGAGAGGGAGAGAGGGATGAGAGAGGAGAGGAGAGAGAGGGAGAGAGGGATGAGAGAGGAGAGGAGAGAGAGGGAGAGAGGGATGAGAGAGAGGAGAGAGAGAGAGAGGGAGAGAGGGATGAGAGAGGAGAGGAGAGAGAGGGAGAGAGGGATGAGAGAGGGAGAGAGGGATGAGAGGAGGTTTAGTCGTGTTTCAGGAGTTTTTCATTCGAGTTCAGAAAAAGCAGATTTACATTTGATCAGAACAAAACTCTGGGCCGAGCTGCAGGATCCAAACGTCCTGTTTTCTACAAGAGGTTTAGGTCCTGTTTTAGGTCCTGGTTTAGGTCCTGGTTTAGGTCCTGGTTTAGGTCATGGTTTAGGTCCTGGTTTGGTCCTGGTTTAGACCTGGTTTAGACCTGGTTTAGTCCTGGTTTAGTCCTGGTTCAGTCCTGGTTTAGTCCGGGTTTAGTCCTGGTTTAGTCCTGGTTTAGTCCTGTTAAGGTCCTGGTTTAGTCCTCGTTTAGTCCTGGTTCAGTCCTGGTTTAGACCCTGTATCACACAAAATGGACTCTGAGCTGTAATCCATGTTCTGATGTTCTGATGTTCTGATGTTCTGAATGTTCTGATGTTCTGATGTTCTAATGTTCTAATGTTCTGATGTTCTGATGTTCTGATGTTCCTGGTCACACACAGAGCTGGAGGTGTGTTTGTTTCATTCACACAGGTTTGTAGTAACTCTTTATTAAACGCTCCGTACCACTTTGTGATGTCATCAAGTAGAAGTTTTTAGGTGTTTTTTTCCCTTTTCCTTTTAGTTCAGCAGATTCATCATTCCAGGAGAAGAACTTGTGTAAATGTGCAGGACGTGTGTGTGTGAAACATGAAACAAAACACAACTCCACGTCTGAGTGTGACCAGGAAACATCAGAAGAACATCAGTAGAACATTAGAACATCAGAACATGTTGTAAAATGTCCCTTTAAACAGTGAAGGAAAATAAGAGGTGGGTAAAAGCGCAAAGGGATTCGTTGATACCTGACGGTGATCTCGCGCTGAGGAGGAGGAGGAGGACGGCGAGGTCACAATCATCAGCCAATTAGAGCAGGGCCACAGCGACAAGCACGTCAGAATCAGCCAATCAAATCATCACAAAAGAAACAAGCGACACAAGCAAAAACACCAATGACAAAAAACACAAATGAGAAAAACAAACGACAAAAAACACAAATGAGAAAAACAAACAACAAAAACAGAAATGGGGAAAAACAAACGACAAAAAACACAAATGAGAAAAACAAACAACAAAAACAGAAATGGGGAAAAACAAACGACAAAAATCACGAATGAGAAAAACAACAAAAAACAAAAAACAGCTCAATAAACAAGATGCAACGATTAGAGACAAACGTGATTCTGACACTGACGTCAGGAAAAGAAATTAATGAACGAAAACTTCATGTTTTCTGGGTGCAGCGTTTATCGTGTTTGTCGTGTTTGTCGTGTTTATCGTGTTTGTCGTGTTTATCGTGTTTATCGTGTTTGTCGTTGTTGGTCATGTTGCTCGTTGTTGGTCGTTTGTCGTGTTTGTTGTGTTTGTCGTGTTGGTCGTGTTTGTCGTGTTTATCGTGTGTACAGGTGTGGTGGAGGTGGAGGTGTAGTGGAGGTGTAGTGGAGGTGGAGGTGTGGAGGAGGTGGAGTTGTGGTGGGTGTGAGGTGGAGGTGTGGTGGAGGTGTGGAGGAGGTGTGGTGGAGGTGTGGTGGAGGTGAAGGTGTGGTGGAGGTGTGGTGGAGGTGTGGTGGAGGTGTGGTGGAGGTGTGGTGTGAGGTGGTGTGGTGGAGGTGTGGTGGAGGTGTGGTGGAGGTGTGGTGGAGGTGTGTGGAGGAGTGTGTGGAGGTGTGGTGAGGTGGAGGTGTGGAGGTGGTGTGGTGGAGGTGTGGTGGAGGTGTGGTGGAGGTGTGGAGGAGGTGTGGAGGAGGTGTGGAGGTGGTGTGTGGTGGAGGTGTGGAGGTGGTGTGTGGTGGAGGTGTGGTGGAGGTGTGGTGGGTGGAGGTGTGGTGGAGGTGGTGGTGGAGGTGTGGTGGAGGTGTGTGTGGAGGTGTGTGTGGTGGAGGTGGTGTGTGGAGGTGTGGAGGTGGAGGGTGTGTGGTGGAGGTGTGGAGGTGAGGTGTGTGGAGGAGGTGTGGAGGTGTGGAGTGGTGGGTGGTGGTGAGGTTGTGGTGGAGGTGTGGTGGAGGTGTGGTGGTGTGGTGGAGGTGTGGTGGAGGTGTGGAGGTGTGGTGTGTGGAGGTTGTGGTGGAGGTGTGGTGGAGGTGTGGTGGATGTGTGGTGGGTGGAGGTGTGGTGGAGTGTGGGTGGAGGTGTGGTGGTGGAGGTGTGGTGGAGGTTGTGGAGTGTGGTGGAGGTGTGGTGGGGTGTGGTGGAGGTGTGGTGTGGGTGGAGGTGTGGTGGAGGTGTTGGTGGAGGTTGTGGGTGGAGGTGTGGTGGAGTTGTGGTGGAGGTGTGGAGGTGTGGTGGAGGTGGAGGTGTGTGGAGGTGTGGTGGAGGTGTGGTGGAGGTGTGGTGGAGGTGTGGTGGAGGTGTGTGGTGGAGTGTGTGGTGTGGTGAGGTGTGGGTGGTGGAGTGTGAGGTGTGGTGGAGTTGTGGTGGAGGTGTGGTGGAGGTGGTGGAGTGTGGAGGTGGAGTGGGTGGAGTGTGGTGAGGTGTGGTGGAGGTGTGGTGGAGGTGTGGTGGGTGTGAGGTGGAGTGTGGTGTGGGTGTGGAGGTGTGGTGGAGGTGTGGTGGAGTGTGTGGAGGTGTGGTGGAGTTGTGGTGGAGGTGTGGTGGAGGTGTGGTGGAGGTGTGGTGGAGGTGTGGTGGAGGTGTTGTGGTGGAGTTGTCGTGATGTTTCAGATGTTTGAGATATTTCTGGTCGTTGTTGCGTCTCTGGTAAAAAATATTGGACTATTTTTTTCCGTGACGTGACTAAAAAAGCCACAGTGGATTTGTACCTTCTCGAGTTGACTGTGGACGTGCTGAACGATCAGGTCCAACGCCACAAAGTTCTCTCCTCCTGAAAACACCAACCAGAAAATTCAGAAACAGACGACAAACGAGACAAAACAGCCTGGCACCACGATGGCACCACGATGGCACCACGATGGCACCACGATGGCACCACGATGGCACCACGATGGCACCACGATGGCACAACGATGGCACAACGATGGCACCACGATGGCACCACGATGGCACCACGATGGCACCACGATGGCACCACGATGGCACAACGATGGCACCACGATGGCACAACGACGGCACCACGAAGGAACTCCCCACGATGGCACTCACCTCTGGGCACCACGATGTCTGCCAGCTGCACCGTGGGCTCGATGTAGCGCTCGAACGCTGGCTTCACAAACGTGTTGTACTGTTTGATGATCCCGGTGATGTCTCTGCCGCGCTGAGAAATGTCCCTCTTCAACCTCCGGACCAGACGAATGTCCGAGTCCGAGTCCACGAACACCTTCATGTCCAAGAGCTGAAGGACCAGAGGAGACACTTTAAACTTCACCACAAACACCATCTGTGTGTGTGTGTTGTGCGTCTCAGTTGTGCGTCTGTGTGTTGTGTGTGTGTTGTGCGTGTGTTGTGTGTGTGTTGTGCGTCTCAGTTGTGCGTCTGTGTGTGTGTGTGTTGTGCGTCTCAGTTGTGCGTCTGTGTGTGTGTGTGTTGTGCGTCTCAGTTGTGCGTCTGTGTGTGTGTGTGTTGTGTGTCTCAGTTGTGCGTCTGTGTGTTGTGTGTGTGTTGTGTGTGTGTTGTGCGTCTCAGTTGTGCGTCTGTGTGTTGTGTGTGTGTGTTGTGCGTCTCAGTTGTGCGTCTGTGTGTGTGTGTGTTGTGCGTCTCAGTTGTGCGTCTGTGTGTGTGTGTTGTGTGTCTCAGTTGTGCGTCTGTGTGTTGTGTGTGTGTTGTGCGTCTCAGTTGTGCGTCTGTGTGTTGTGTGTGTGTGTTGTGCGTCTCAGTTGTGCATCTGTGTGTTGTGCGTCTCAGTTGTGCGTCTGTGTGTTGTGTGTGTGTTGTGCGTCTCAGTTGTGCATCTGTGTGTTGTGCGTCTCAGTTGTGCGTCTGTGTGTGTGTTGTGTGTCTCAGTTGTGCGTCTGTGTGTGTGTTGTGTGTCTCAGTTGTGCATCTGTGTGTTGTGTGTGTGTTGTGTGTGTGTTGTGCGTCTCAGTTGTGCGTCTGTGTGTTGTGCGTCTCAGTTGTGCGTCTGTGTGTTGTGTGTGTGTGTGTGCGTCTCAGTTGTGCGTCTGTGTGTTGTGTGTGTGTTGTGCGTCTGTGTGTTGTGCGTCTCAGTTGTGCGTCTGTGTGTTGTGTGTGTGTTGTGCATCTGTGTGTTGTGCGTCTGTGTGTTGTGTGTGTGTGTTGTGCGTCTCAGTTGTGCGTCTGTGTGTGTGTGTTGTGCGTCTGTGTGTGTGTGTTGTGCGTCTGTGTGTTGCGTGTGTGTTGTGTGTCTCAGTTGTGCGTCTGTGTGTGTGTGTTGTGCGTCTGTGTGTTGTGTGTGTGTGTTGTGCGTCTCAGTTGTGCGTCTCTGTTGTGTGTCTCAGTTGTGCGTCTGTGTGTTGTGTGTGTGTGTGTGTGTTGTGCGTCTCAGTTGTGCGTCTGTGTTGTGTGTGTGTTGTGCGTCTGTGTTGTGCGTCTCAGTTGTGCGTCTGTGTGTTGTGTGTGTGTGTGTGTTGTGCGTCTCAGTTGTGCGTCTCAGTTGTGCGTCTGTGTGTTGTGTGTGTGTTGTGCGTCTGTGTTGTGCGTCTCAGTTGTGCGTCTGTGTGTTGTGTGTGTGTTGTGCGTCTCAGTTGTGCGTCTGTGTGTTGTGTGTGTGTGTTGTGGCGTCTGTGTGTGTGTGTGTGTGTGTGTGTGTGTGTGCGTCTCAGTGTGTGCGTCTGTGTGTTGTGTGTGTGTGTGTGTGTTGTGTGTCTCAGTTGTGCGTCTGTGTGTTGTGTGTGTGTGTGTTGTGCGTCTCAGTTGTGCGTCTGTGTGTTGTGTCTGTGTGTTGTGTGTGTGTGTGTGTTGTGCGTCTCAGTTGTGCGTCTGTGTGTTGTGTGTGCGTCTGTGTGTGTGTGTGTGTGTGTCGTGTGTGTTGTGTGTGTGTGTGTGTTGTGCGTCTCAGTTGTGCGTCTGTGTGTTGTGTGTGTTGTGCGTCTCAGTTGTGTGCGTCTGTGTGTGTGTGTGTGTGTGTTGTGCGTCTCAGTTGTGGCGTCTGTGTGTTGTGTGTGCGTCTGTGTGTGTTGTGTGTGTGTGTGTGTGTGCGTCTCAGTTGTGCGTCTGTGTGTTGTGTGTGTGTGCGTCTGTGTGTCTGTGTGTTGTGTGTGTGTTGTGCGTCTCAGTTGTGCGTCTGTGTGTTGTGTGTGTGTGTTGCGTCTCAGTTGTGCGTCTGTGTGTTGTGTGTGTGTTGTGTGTCTCAGTTGTGCGTCTGTGTGTGTGTGTGCGTGTGTGTGTGTGTGTGTGTTGCGTCTCAGTTGTGCGTCTGTGTGTTGTGTGTGCGTCTGTGTGTGTTGTGTGTGTGTGTGTGTGTGTGTGTCGTCTCAGTTGTGCGTCTGTGTGTTTGTGTGTGCGTCTGTGTGTTGTGTGTGTTGTGTGCGTCTGTGTTGTGTGTTGTGTGTTGTGTGTGCGTCTGTGTGTTGTGTGTTGTTGTGCGTTGTGTGTGTGTGTGTGTGTGTGTGTTGTGTGTCTCAGTTGTGCGTCTGTGTTGTGTGTGTGTGTGTGTGTTGTGCGTCTCAGTGTGTGTGTGTGTGTGTGTGTGTGTGTGTGCGTCTGTGTGTGTGTCTCAGTTGTGCGTCTGTGTGTTGTGTCTGTGTGTTGTGTGTGTGTTGTGCGTCTCAGTTGTGCGTCTGTGTGTTGTGTGTGTGTGTGTTGTGTGTCTGTGTGTCTCAGTTGTGCGTCTGTGTGTTGTGTGTGCGTCTGTGTGTTGTGTGTGTGTGTGTGTGTTGTGTGTGTGTTGTGCGTCTCAGTTGTGCGTCTGTGTGTTGTGTGCGTCTGTGTGTTGTGTGTGTGTGTGTGTTGTGCGTCTCAGTTGTGCGTCTGTGTGTTGTGTGTGTGTGTGTTGTGCGTCTGTGTGTTGTGTGTGTGTGTGTGTTGTGCGTCTCAGTTGTGCGTCTGTGTGTTGTGTGTCTCAGTTGTGCGTCTGTGTGTTGTGTCTGTGTGTTGTGTGTGTGTTGTGCGTCTCAGTTGTGCGTCTGTGTGTTGGTGATAAGAGTGTTTTATTCAAACTGTCAACATGATTCATTAACAGAACGAAGAACAAAAGACACAAAAGAGAAAAAGCAAAGAAAAAACAAAAGCGGAAGAGAAACGGAGAGACGCAGGGAGGAGGAGAGGAGGAGGAGGAGAGGAGGGAGGAAAGGAGGAGGAGAGGAGGAGGAGGAGAGGAGGAGGAGGAGAGGAGGGAGGAAAGGAGGAGGAGAGGAGGAGAGGAGGAGAGGAGGAGGAGGAGAGGAGGGAGGAAAGGAGGAGGAGAGGAGGAGGAGGAGGGAGGAAAGAAGGAGGGAGGAAAGAGGAAATGAATAATGAGAAAGGGAGAAGGAGAGAAGGAGGGGGAGGAGGAAGGGGGAGGAGGGACGGAGAGAGAAAAAGAAAAAAAGAGGTGGGGTCAGAAAAAGGGAGAAAAGGGTAAAAGAGAAAAGGAGGAGCAGTGACACTCGTTTGTCGTTTACGGAGCAGATCTGTGGAGAATCTAAATTAAAATGGATCAGGGCGACTCTAGGGCGAAGACGATTTATGACGAGAAACACACGTTTAAAAACCAAAGTGTGTGTAGTTTGCGTGTTCTGCCTGTGTGTTCGGGTGAGGTTCCCTTTGGTCCTGGAGTTGTTCTCTCTCTGCTGGACTAAAGGGAAAAGGCTGTGTTCACTTGATGACATCAGCAGGTGGAACAGTAAATCTGTGTTTGTGTCGACGCGGCGTTTTCCTCGTCTCAGGTCGACGCCTCCGATCTCGTTCTGTCTCTGAGTTACACGTTTAC